AGGGAGCCAGATGCGGGGCTCAAGCCCAGGTCCTTGGGGTCATGACCTGATCTGAAGGCAGATGCTTAGTGACTGAGTCACCCAGACACTCCATCCTTCTGGCACTTTCATATTGGACTTTTAGCCTCCAGAACTGTGAGGAAATAAATTTCTATTCTTCAGGTCAATCTATGGTACTTTGTTATGGTAGTTCTAGCAGACTAATAGAATACCCTACTTGGTCACAGTATGTTATTTTCTTAAATCATATGGGCCTTGTGTTTTTTGGGAGAAATAACTTTCTCTGTTTCTTTTCTCTAGTATAGGAGTGACAAACTGCAACCCACAGGTCCATTCAAGTTGGCTATTTTTTTTTTTTTTTTTAAGATTTTATTTGTTTGGGGCACCTGGGTGGCTCAGTGGGTTAAAGCCTCTGCCTTCAGCTCAGGTCATGATCCCAGGATCCTGGGATCGAGCCCCGCGTCGGGCTTTCTGCTCAGTGGGAAGCCTGCTTCCTCCTCTCTCTCTCTGCCTGCCTCTCTGCCTACTTGTGATCTGTCTGTCAAATAAATAAAAATCTTAAAAAAAAAAAAGATTTTATTTGTTTATTTTAGGGCGCGAGAGAGAGAATGAACCAGAGGGAGTGGGACAGAAGCAGGCTCCCTGCTCAGCAGGGGCTTGACTTCATGACCCTGAGATCACAACCTGAGCCAAAACCAAGTTAGATGCTTAACCAACGGAGCCACCCCAGTGACCCTGGCTGCCTATCTTTGTAAATCCAACTTATCTGGAACATAGCGACACTCACTTCTTTGTATGTATCTATGGAGGCTTTTGTGCTTCAACGGTAGTGTAGAATATTAGACTTGCAAACCCCACACACTTGCTATCTGATGCTTTGGAGAAAATGTGCTGACCCCTGCTTCAGCAAATACTTGGGATGGGCTTATGTGCATACTATTCTTTGAGTTCTTGCATTTTAAAAAGAGTTTGTTTTTTTTTTTTTTTTCCTCTCTATAGAGTTCAGTGCTTGAAAACCAGCATGGATGGGTGGATACAAAATCCCGTAGCTTGCATTTTCTTTGCTTGAGTTTTTAGAAAATGCTGCATCACTATTGCCTTGCTTTGCTCTTGAGAAGTCTGACGCCAGATATTTCAGTTATCAGATTCCGTAACAAACCATCTACCGTGAAAAGTAATGGCTGGGGGCGCCTGGGTGGCTCAGTGGGTTAAAGCCTCTGCCTTCGGCTCAGGTCATGATCCCAGGGTCCTGGGATGGAGCCCTGCATCGGGCTCTCTGCTCAGTGGGGAGCCTGCTTCCCCCTCTCTCTCTGTCTGCCTCTCTGACTACTTGTGATCTCTCTCTGTCAAATAAATAAATTAATTAATCTAAAAAAAAAAGGTAATGGCTTAAGGAGAGAACTATTTTGATTGTAATTTCACAATCTTTGGGGTCAGGAATTTAGGGGGGTCTGGGTGGATTATTCTTCTGTTCCACATCGCTTCCACTGGGGTCACTCAGTGGTACTCAGCTGACGGCTGAACCAATATAGGACATTCATGATGACCTCACTCACATTGGCTAGGACCGTCTAGCTTCTCTCCCTCTCTATGCCATCTCAGAGCCTTTCCATGGGAGTCAGATTTTTTAAAAATAGGTTTATTTATTTTAGAGAGAGACAGAGAGAGAGACTGCACGAGTAGGAGGGTTATGGGGAGAGAGAATCACAAGCTGACTCCACGCTGAGCACAGAACTGGATGCGGGGCTCCATCCCAGGACCCCGAGATCATGACCTGACCTGAAACCAAGAGTCGGATGCTTAACCGACTGTGTCACCCAGGCACCCAAGGGAGTTAGATATTTCATACTGTGGCTCAGGGCTTCAAGAGCAAGTGTTCTCGAAGACGCGGGTGGATTCTTCAGACTCCTTATGACCTAGGCCTGGAAGTCCCATATACAGCACACATTCTTTGGTCAAGCAATTTACTTGGGTCAACATGGATCAAATGAAGGGACAAAGAATTTGCAGAATTTGCAGAATTTAATGTACTGCAGCCTCATGTCCTTACCCTTTTAAGTAATTCGAGCTTTTTGCACTGAGGCTTTGGAAACTCTTATTTTTATCTAATAGTTTGAAGAGGCTGCCTCTTAGAATTGACTGTTTTGTGATGATTTCCCCAGATACACAGGGGTTCTTTCATTATGTTGGTTCACTTTTTCTTATTTCCAGAAATTTTCATTATATGTGGAACTTCAGCTACACCAATGTTGGACATTCTTTGCTTGTACTCAAATGACACTCCAAACCCAGAGAGAAATAAGTACAAAGCTGTCGAGGCAAGGGAAAGTAGGAACATTCCAGGAGTTTGGATGGGGTGTGTGTGGGAAGTGACAAAAGAGGGAGTGGGGAGACAGACAAGGGCTAGATAAATGGAAGGTGTTACCTGCCATGCTGAGTAGCAACATATATACAGGCAGCACATTCTGGAAAGTTTTTTTCTGACATGCAGTATGGAATATGGAATGGGAGGAATGAGACCACAGGAGAGGGACAAGATCAAAGGCTATTGCATTCAACTAGGTGAGGGACAGATTCTAGAGTTCTTTATGAAAAGCATCAGCAACGTCGTTGAGTGCTGTAGGGATGGGAAGGAAGGAATCAAGGATGACTTCCCCAGTTCTGAACTGGGGAACTGAGTAGACAGTGATCCTAAAGAGTTTTAGACACGTAGAGCTCGGGGTGACTATAGGACATCCAGGTGGAGAAATCCAGCAGGCTTTTGTGTCTGTGGAGCTCAGAGGAGTGGTCTGAGCCAGATAATGAACTTGGGAGTAGCTGGCCTATGTGGCAGGCGGAGGCAGGGAGTGGATGGAATGGCTTCAGGAGATTGTGTGGGGTGAAATGAAAGCTGAGAACAGAACCCGGGAGACTCAGGAGGGGTCAGAGGGGTGAGGAGGTAAGTCATGTCATGAAGGCCAAGGGAGTTTCAAAAAGACTGGGGTGCTTTGTGTCGTCAAATGCCACCAAAAGCTCAGTGATACAGACTCAAAAACAGCCTGTGGCATTTCTGATCAAGCAAGCCCTTAATGACTGAGTGGTGCAGTGATGTGGTGGGGACAGAAGTCACACAACCGTGGGCTGACAAGGGAGAAGCTGCTGAGTTGGCAGCAATGAGTGCAAACTGCACTCAGGATGTTTGTGAAGGAAACTACAGAAAGGGAGCAAGCGGTACCTAGAAGACAATGCAGAGGGACAGAGGGGTTTCTTTTTCTTGAGGACAGGAAAAGCTTGAACACGGCAGATGGTGAAGGAAAGGTAAGAGTGGTTGATAATTCTGGGAGTGAGAGCTGGGGCACGATCGAAATATGTTTGAAAGGAGTTTTCTGAGGATGTGGGAGGTGATGAGGTACAGAACGGCGAAGGAGAGATGCTAATAGAAACGTACTTAGAGTAGTTAATTCCAAGAGTGGTTTATTATAGTCCAGCTCACATACTGAAATTACTTTGGTTTCAATCAATAGGGCAAATACAGCAAACAGTATTGACATATTTATTTTACATCATTTACACATCTTTTCTCCAAAGGGTAAGATCAATGTTTACCTTTCAAAGCCTCCCACATAGTTCCTGCTAAGTGGTAAATGAATAAACAAAATGTCTCTTGCCTGTATTCTGAGTATCTTAACATATTCAGAACACAGCCAAGATCCTGCACACATATGAAAAAGTCTTCTAAGCAAGCAAAAGAGTCCCCAAATTCACATGTGGAAGGTGATGTCCCTTTTTTGAGGAACCTGCTTACCCTCACTTAACAAAGTTGGTTAGCAGAATTTCCTTCGCCATAGGAGTTTAAAAATAGGAAAATCAGAGGAGGAGGAAGAGGATGTTCTCAAGGCAGCAGGCAGGCAGACAGCAGCAGGAGGTGGCACGGTCTGCCTTACCATAAGGTGCCAAAAAGCAGTGAAAACCAGATGCAAAGCATACTGGCTTGGGGGCTCTTGGCTTAGGGACTTCCATCAGGCATTCACATAGCAACTGTCCTTAAAGGACTGCTGATCTGAGCCTTAAGTAGTGGTAAGAAAAATGATCCTTGGAACCATCAAAAAGCAAAACAAAACCACAACCAACCAACCAAACAAAACCTATAGCTGTCTTTAATTTCGAATCATCTCCTACGTTTCACAGTTTGGAAAGGATTCTATTAGAAATGGGTAATATTAAAACACAAGAGCTGATGCTGAGATGGTGAACCTGTTGGTGAACCCAACCTAGCCTTGGATACACTCCTTTTTTTCTCCTAGGACGTCTTTCTTTTTCTTCCTTCCGGGTGGAACACCTATGCCACCTCTTCCAAGAACCCCACTACATGGTCCAGGGGGAAGTAATCTCTTCCTCCTCTGCCCTCCCATAGCATCTCCGTGTGGCTTGGTTTTGCATGGGTCATCAGACCGGGTTGTTTACACGGCTGCTTTTGCACTAAATTATGCGCACCTCGAGACCAGGGGCCGTGACCGTGACGGTGTACCTACACAGCACCTGGTACAGGGCTAGGCGCGGAGTCGGTGCTTAGTAAACCCTCGCTGAGCTGAATTAATTTGGAAAAATCACTCAGTGTAAGATCTCTTGCTCGAGGCGCGGATGAATGATTCATGGGGTGGTTCTTTGCATTCTTTACCTTACAGTCACGGCGCGCCGAGTATCCAGCTGCCCCGCACATACCTGTGGAATCGAAACGCACCTCCGCCGCCCACGTCCAGCGTGCGGGGCTAGCCGGATGGGGGCAGGTTTCCCCAGCGCGTCCGCACGCCCGCTGGCGAGCTGGGGCGGGGGGTGGGGGGCGGGGGGCGGCTCCCGCTTGTCTGCAGGGGGCGGGGTTCGGAGGGAACTCGGCCTGCCCGCCTGCCCGCCCCCTCCTCGGCAAGGCGGAAGCCCCGCCCCCGGCCGCGCGCTCGCGCAGGCGGCGCGTGCCCGCCCCCCGCCCTGCGCCCTCGCGCCCTCGCGCCCTCGCGCCGGGGGCGGGCTTGCTGCGCGTGCCGGGCGGGGAAACGGCGCAAGCCGAGCGCCTGAGAACGTTCGCCGCGGGGGCGGCTCCGGGGCCTGAGCGGGCACCGCCGCCACCTCAGCCGCCGGGGCCGGGCCGGAGGAGGCGGAGGAGGCTGCGGCCGTCCGAGACCTTCTCGACGTCCCCAGCTCCGGCCGGGAAGTGAGTGGGGTGGGGGTTCGCGGCGGCGGCCGTGGGCTGCGGGAGAGGAGCGGGGTGCTCTAGCCTCGCGCCGGCGAGGAGCGGGAAGGAGCCCGCGCAGCGCCGGGACCTCCGGAGCCTGCGGGGGTGCAGGGCCGGGAGCGGCGGGGACGGAGCTCCGAGAGCCGGGGCCGCTGCACCGCGCGCACGGCGAGGGGAGACGGTGCCGCGCGCCCGGCCCTGGAGGGGCGAGCCGAGGGGATGGAGCGGAGCCCTGGGCCGGCGCTGCCGGGCTCTGAGCGCCGGGCCGGGCCCGGGGTCTCCGGGATCCCGAGCGCACCTTGGCCGCAGGGCGCGGGGCCGAGGTGCGGGCGCCGGGCTGATGCTGCTGGAGCCCGGCTTGCTGGGGGGAGGCTGTGCGTTAGGTGCTGTTAGGGGCGCAGGAGGCAGGTCCTGGCAGAGGGCAGGTGAGGCAGTGAGGCCCTGGCAGAGGGAAGGGAATGTATTTCACATCACCCCCAAACACTACCGAGGCGCCTAACAGTGAACCTGCGCACCGAGGTCACCTTTGAAAGGAAGGTGTCCTGAGAGGAGGCAGGATGGAGCTAACAAATGCTTGCTGTTAAATTCCTGTGCCAGGCCTTGGGATTAGGAAGACCTTCTCGCATTTCTAGCAGACGTTTATTGATTAGCTACCTTGGGTTAGAGAACCGTGCTCAGCACTGGGGACACGAAATAGTGTAAAACACAACGGTAATTTGCTATGTAGGTGCTGACAATTTGGTAGTGAAGGTTTGCGGGTCGAATACAAAGTGGCATTGAATTTCACCTCATACTTCATTCATTTGAGGTCTTTTTTTTTTGGTCCTTTCCCAGTGTTGGGAGATTGGAGCCAAAAATTGCTTGGTTTGGGGATAAAGCAGAAGAGTCAGAGGAGCTTGTGAGAGAAATTTGGGAGAGTTTTGAAGGCAGTTCTGCCTAACATTTAAAGGGGAAGAAGGGAAGAAGAAATTGGGAAAGAGAAAAGTTCCTTCTTTCCTTCCTAGAATTAAGCTCCGTGGCTATCACTGCTAAATCCCCAATGACAAGAACAGTGCCTGGCTCGCAGCAGTCAGGCAAAAAATAGTTATTGGATGAATGAATGAACCAAGCAAGGTTTTGCTGTATTTTACACGAAACAGTATTAATTACTTTGGTGTTAGGGATGGCTGATGGACTTCCTCTGTTCCTGAAATATGCTTTCTTTTCTTCTTTTCTTCTTCTTTTTTTTTTTTTTTAAGTTTTTTTTTTTTTGAAAAAGCCCGGGAAAAGAGGGAAAACAAGAAGGGGAGGTGGGGGGGGGGGAAGCGCGCGTCCCGGGGGGCAGGGAGCCCTGCGGGCGGGGGGGGGGGGGGGGGGTGCCTCAATCCCAGGACCCTGGGATCATGACCTAAGCTGAAGGCAGACCCTTAATGACTGAGCCACCCAGGTGCCCCTTTTTATTACTATTTTAAAAGATTTTATTTATTCATCTGACAGCATAAGCAGGAGAGCAGCAGGCAAAGGGAGAGGGAGATACAGGCTTCCCGCTGAGCAGGGAACCCAATGTGGGGCTCCCTCTCAGGACCCTGGGATCATGACCTGAGATGCAGGCAGATGCTTAAGGACTGAGCCACCCAGGCGCCCCTCCCTCCTCCTCCTCCTCCTCCTCCTCCTCCTTCTTCTTTTTTGTCATGTAAGGTAACCCAGGTTTCTAGGTCTGGGGATTTAAAGCAGTGGCTAAGGTGGTGACCACCCTGCCACATCTTTATTGCATATTGGCCAGTGGGAGCTTATTCCTTGGGACACTGCTTCAAATCATCCAATTCTGTCCCTCTCTTTTCTGTCACTTGAGGAAGAAGAGTACTTTAGTTTAGGCAACATTATTTTTCCTCTTTTATCCTGGTTCTTGGATCTTCCATCTGCAGTAAGAGAGTGTATCTCTGCTCTCCTGTGAGGGTTGCAGTTCTACCTGTTGTCTGCCGTGGCTGGATTTCTGGGCTCTCCAATTCCCAGCTGCTGTTTCAGTGCCTGGGCTTGCAGTGCCTGTTGGATTACTTTGTCTGCCAAATTAAAACTTGACCTTTTATGAGTTCTATGAGGATTTTTATCATACATAAGTGGCATTACCTTTGGAGAGGGTTACGTAGTTAAAGGTGTGCTGGCAAGGTTTTTGAGTGTCCACTGTGCACGAGAGACAGATTTTCTATTTAGAAAATTAGACTTAGAACCAACATGGCGCTTGAGTGGCTCAATCCGTTGAATGTCTGCGTTTGGCTCCAGTCATGATCCCAGGGTCCTGGAATTGAGTCCCACGTCTCCCTCTGCCCTGCCTCTGCCTCTTTCTCTCTGCCTTTCATGAATGAATACATCAAACCAACAGAATGCCACGTTACCTTTTATTTTATGACTTTATTTTTTAAAAAAATTATGACTTTAATAGAAATCTTTTAAGGGCCCTCATGCCCACATATAAAAAACAAGGGTAATATTAATATAGATTAATCTTGTGCTGTAAGCCTTGAAAAACTAAGTTAATTTCTCTTTAGTTTCAGAGTACAGCCAGCAGGAGTCCATCGGTTCTTGTTTGGGGGTACCCTAGTCCTGTAAATTTGGGTGCCTTCTTCCAGGTTCTCCCAGTGATACTGTAATTTATCTGTATATTTATGTTTCTTTTATTTTTTATTTATTTATTTAAAAGACTTTATTTATTTATTTGACAGACAGAGATCACGAGTAGGCAGAGAGGCAGGCAGAGAGGGGGAAGCAGGTTCCCTGCCAAGCTGAGCAGAGAGCCCGATTCGGGGCTCAATCCCAGAACCCTGAGATCATGACCTGAGTCGAAGGCAGAGGCTTAACCCACTGAGCCACCCCGGCGCCCCTTTATGTTTCTTTTAAAATCAACGTTATGAATGTGTAGTTGACATACAATAACATGCCCAGATGTCTGTGGACAGTTGGATGAGTTTTGAAAAGTGTATATGCTTTGTAACCACTCTCCCAATCAGGATATAGAAATTTACATCGTCCCAGAAAATTCCCTCATGCTGGTTTATAGTCCACCCCTCTCACTTTACTTAAAACTTCTAGTTACACAAGCATCAGGGCTGTGGTGTCTTGTTGGGCAGGATGTGTATCGCCCACCTGTAGGGAGTGCCCTTCCTAGCAGCATCCCTGCAGATGTACCTCCTGGAGTTGTCTCTGGCACAGTCCGTGGGGCTGTGTACTGCAGCACTGTGGATGGCTCATGAGCACACACTTATAAAATAGTCAGATAATACAGATGGAATAAATGTCCCCTTGGCCCACTCCCTTTTCTACAGAAATTGCGGTTATTAGACCTTTGCATTTTCATCTATTTATAGGTAGTACAGAAAAAAAGCAGAATTTCCCTCTACCCCTGAGTTACTGACATGATACTGTACATTGTTCTGCAACATTTCCCCCCCTAACAAAATGTCCGAGATCTTCCCATGTTGGAACGTAGAAAAGAGAAAAATCTACCCGATTTTTCTTGACTACAACATGATCTCTTATGTGGTATGTGTATTGTACTATAGTTTATTTAATCGTCTCCTCATTAAAAGCCATTTAAGCTCTTTGCCATTTCAGACATTGCCGCAGTGAATGGAAGAAGTAGAATTACCAAGGGGGTGCACATTTTATATTTTAATTCAGGAGATTTAAGCATGAAATTGTGGATCTGGTTAAATTTTTTTTTTTTTAACTGCTAGGTAATGTTCAGTTGTGGAGACTTAAATTACCGTTTTCATTCTTCGTGCACTGAGGAACAGACAGTTGTGTTACTTTGGCTGTTGATTATCTTATGTTGCAGATGCGTCCTGCTGCTAGTCTGAGGCTTGCCTTTTCCCATGGTTGGTAGAGTCTTTGTATGGAAGTTTAAGATTTTAATGTTATATTTATGAAAAAAATACCCTTAAATTCAAAAAAAGGTTCTATTGTGGGTTTTTTTTTTTTTTTTTTTCTTGAGATTTATTTATTTGAGAGTGAGAGAGAGCAAGTGTGAGTTGGGGCAGAGGGAGGGGGAGATGGACAAGGAAAGACAAGCAGACTCCCTGCTGAGTGGGGAGCCTGATGCAGGGCTCAATCCAAGGACCCCAAGATCAGGACCTGAGCCAAAGTCAGGCACTTAACCAGCTGAGCCACCGAGATGCCCCTGTGTGTGTTTGGTTTAAGTAAATTTTTCCTACTCCAGGTATGAATTCTATATTTCTATATTTTCTTCCAAAATTAAAAAAAGTGGTGCCTGGCTGGCTCAGTCGGAAGAGCATGCGGCGCTTGATCTGGGGTTGTGAGTTCGAGCACCACATTGGGTGTAGATTTAAATTGTAATTTTGTAATGTAAATTTAAAAAAATTTAAAGTTTTGCTTTCCATGTGGAATTTCTATGTGGTATAATGAAGGAGGCCTCCCCCCCCCCATTTGGATAACCAGTTTTTCAGCACCTTGTCTCATTTTTTAAATTGTAAAATAGACATGACATACAGTTTACCATTTTAGCCATTCGTAAATGTACATTTGCGGCATTAAGTGCCTTCGCATTGTTGTGGAACCATCAACACTTTCCGTCTCCAGAACTTTTTAATCTTCCCCACCTGAAACTCTGTACCCATTAAACACCGCCTCCTTAGTCTCACCTCTCTTCAGCCCCTGGCAACCGCCATTCTACTTTCTGTCTCTATAATGTGACTACTCCAGGTACCTCACGCCAAGTGGAATCATACAATATTTGTCCTTTTGTCTGGCTTATTTCAGTTTGCATGTCTTTGGAGTTCATTTATATTGTAGCATCTGTCAGGATTTCCTTTTTTAAGGCTAAATACTCTTCCATTGCATGTATGTACACATTTGTTCATTCATTCATCTATCAGTGGACCTGGGTTATTTCTATCTTTTGTCTGTTGTGAATAATGCTCTTATGAACACGGGTGTTCAAATATCTGCTCAGGTCCCTGTTTTCCATTCTTTTGTGTATATACCCA